CTGCAGTTGCAGCCTCCATCTGACTAGCATTTTGCACACGACAGGCCCAGTATGAGGCGCCTTGGCCTTTTTCACGCAATTACCCACCTTATCCTCACAACTGCCTTCAAAAGGTTATCTTTTGTTTATGTGGCTTAGTCTCAGGTCCTAACTTGAAAGCTCCCCAGGGACTGGATTGTTTGCCTTGTCCCTTTCATCCTTGCCTCCCCTAAGCCCAGGAGGTACACCATTGGAGCTTCAAACATTTTTTAATTGGGAGGTGAGCTTTACTGGGTGGGAGGTTTTAACCAGGCTTGTTTGGCAGAGTGTTCCAAGGGGGTTGGAAAGTTAAATGGAGCTACCTCCCCCATTTTTGTTTTGCTGTGTTTTGTTTTATTTGGAATAAACATTTACTGAACATCTAAACAGTGTGTGTCTGCTCAAGGGAAGAAGCCCTGCTTTTGATAGTAAATATACTTAACACTACTTGTGTCTGGAGTCAAGTATGCCCAGGTTTGGTAAAGGAAAAGCAACAAATCCCTTACAGGTGGGTAGCACTCAGCCCCTGAGTCCCTTTCCTCCTCTGAACAACGGGAATAGTAATAGTACTTATGTTAAGGAGATGTTGGGATTGAGTTTGAATAGGCTATCCTATCACCAGTGGTTGGCAGCTTTGGCTACATGTTGAACTTACCTGGGTCCCACCCCAGAATTTCTGATAGAGTTGCAGGCAAGTTCTGAGCATTAGGAGTTTTAAGATTTCCCCAGGTGATTCTAAGGGCAACCAAACTTGAGAGCCACTGTTGTATAGAAGGTTAATTAATCTCTCTTCAGCTATCATTCCCTGCTTAAGAGTCTGCATTGACTCCCAAGTCTGAACCAGCCTTCGCATTCCAAACCCCTTGACAACTGGCCCAGTCATTCCTCTGTATCTGTGTGTGCTTTAGACATGGGTCCTCCTTTAGGCTAGTCTTCTTGCAGTGCTATGTCTCCATACGATAGGGCTTGGGTAACTGGCCCTCTTTAAGCCTCAATTTCCCTGTCTGTGAAATAAGAATAGTAGTACCCATGTGTATAGCAATGGCATAGACTGCCTGGTGTGTTGTACCTACTGATGATGATCACCTCTTCTAGTTTTATGCACATGCCACATCTTACATTATGTTGTGCTTCTATAATGGCACTACAGAAACATTTCTTAAATGCCTGTTGCAGATATGGAGAATAGTGAATTCCTTTCTCCCCTGCTTTGTCTTTCAAATTCAGCACAAGACAACTCTTTCACAAAACTATGAAACTGGAGATCATTTGGTTTCTCCTATTTAATTTTATTGAGAGATCATTCACATCATAAAACTCACCCTTGTAAAATGTACAGTTCAGTGATTTTAGTACATTCACAGAGTTGGGAAGCCATCACCATCACTGCAATTTAGTTTTGAAACCTTTTCAACACCCTCAAAATAAACCTATACCTATAACCCCATTTCTCCCTTCCCTCAGCACCAGGCAACCACTAGTCCATTTGGGGTCTCTGGATTTGCTATTCTGGACATTTCATATTAGTGGTCTTATACAATATGTGGTCTTTTTGACTGCTTTCACTTAGCATAATGCTTTCAAGCTTCATATACACTGTAGCATGTATTAGCACCTCATTCCTTTATTGCTGGTAATCCATTACAAATGGACACACCCCATTTTGTTGATCCATTCATCTGTAGATGGACATTTGGGTTGTTTCCACTTTTTGGCTATTATGAATCACTGCTATAAACATTTGGGTACAGATTTTTGCATGAAAATGTTTTCAGTTTTCTTATATCTGTACAAGGAGTGGAATTGCTGGATCACATGGTTATTCTTTGTGGGTTTTTTTGTTTCTTTGTTTATTTTGAGAGAGAGCAAGTGTAGACAGAGAGAAAGACAGAGAATCCTAAGCAGGCTCCACTCTGTCAGTGCAAAACCCGATTCAGGGCTTGATCTTACAAACCAAGAGATCATGACCTGAGCCAAAGTCAAGAGTCAGATGCTTAACCAACTGAACCATCCAGGTGCCCCGATCATATGGTTATTCTGTGTTTAACATTTGAGTGATTTCCAGACTTTTCCAGTCCTGTTCAATTTGAAGATGAAGAAACAGGTCTCAGAGAGCTTAAGTGGGTTATGCAAGTTCACATGATAATAATGGCAGGTTTGCATATATAGGAGGCCTACTATGAGCCAGCTTCTTGATGTGCATGCTGCCACATGGGCAGAAGTGACACCAGATCACAGACTGAGGTTTTGTGAAAAACGGCATGTTTTGTGGCAGGAAACTTTCTGTTACACACACTTGGGTTGGAGTACAGGGTTTTTGCCACCAAGTGTCCTAGCTCCTTCTTGCTTTTTAAGAGTATAGCAGCGGGGCGCCTGGGTGGCTCAGTTGGTTGAGCGTCCGACTTCAGCTCAGGTCACGATCTCATGGTTCGTGAGTTCGAGCCCCGCGTCAGGCTCTGGGCTGATGGCTCAGAGCCTGGAGCCTGCTTCCGATTCTGTGTCTCCCTCTCTCTCTGCCCCTCCCCTATTCATGCTCTGTCTCTCTCTGTCTCAAAAATAAATAAACATTAAAAAAATTAAAAAAAAAAAAAAGTATAGCAGCAATCGGAGGGAAGATTCCAACCCAGGCAAATTCAAATATAACTTCATTTTCACTTGTTCAAGGAAATTTAATTGGAAGTTCTTGCAGTTAGCCATTTAACATTTCCTCTTTTTCAAAAATTCTAAATGTAGCCTATACAAGTTAAATACTACCTAGAAGTTATAAAAGTGAAAAATCTCATAAAAGTCCAAATTGTTCCTGGATATCTCTTGAAAGTTTCTCACTAGATTCCAACATCCTGCCTCAAAAAAGCGTTAAGTTTTAGAATAAATTGCTGCTGCTTCTGTTGAATACTCAATACTATAGTTGGCTTGGATTGAGGGATAAGTCAGCAAGTGAAAATTTAGATAAAATGCTCTTGGAAGAAAATCTCTTAATTGTGCATCAACATGCGATACACATTGTTTTGTTATGAATGCTTTACAATAATGTGTGCATATGCTCTGGTTTCTCTTCAGATAGTATAAATCTTTTGCCTTTTACAATAATGTGTGTGTGTATAGATAAAATGTATATATGTATCATGTTCAGTATGTAATTCCATTGAGGGATCTATTTAAAAATTAAATTATTCTAGCATTTTGCTGCTTAGAATATTTGGTCAATTCTATGAAGCTTCCAACTTGCTGATTCTTATTTTTCATAGTTATCTTTGTAATTTATCAATCTCTATAACTCTTCCTTGGTCTGTGTTTTCCTTTGTCCCCATCTAATTCCTCAGTTTCTTTGAGAGGATGGATGTATAAAGGTATCACACATTGGACAAGGCATGCAATTTCTTTTTAATGGTCATAAACCCATAAAACCACTTACCTTCCTCAGATTTGGCCACCATCATTGGCTATTTCAGGCTTGATCGCATGTATTGCCCAGTGGGATGCTGGTGTTAACTGCAGGAGGCACTTAACGAAGTTTTACTTCGTTCTTTGGATCCATGTAGATGAAGCGTGTGATCTGGCTCCAGTGTATCTTTAAGCACCAGATATGCTCTCAGCTTAAGTCGAGCCCAGGCCCGAGATGGAGGGAGCAGCAGATTCAAGTCTCCCCTCATGTTCCGGGGCGTCTGTTGGGAGAGTGGAGTGCCCAAACTCTTGCACTGTTTACATTTTCCCTCCTTACATGGGGTTGGGTTTTCCTAAGTCAAATGTATCTGCTGTGGCTCTGTTGCTTTATCACCCAAAGCACTCAACTCCATTTCCTTCCTTTAGCCATTATTGAATTGCAGCTTGTTGTGTTACCTTCAATTTGCTTTTGTGTGTGTTTTGTCTCTTCAAATTGAGTATAAGGCCTGGAAGGGAGAGGTACTCACTTTGGCTTCCTTTACTTCCTCAGAGTATTCAGTGCACAGCAAGCAATTCCATCATTCTCCGGAACCCTTTAGCTCCTAACCTTGAGAAATAGTGAGCCTTCAGACAAAGGGAGACAGATGCAGCCTGTGCTCGCAGCAGAACCCAGAGAGAAGAGCATAGGCTTTAGAATTCCACAGACCTGGGATCATCTGAAGGAGCCTTTTACAAAATCTTTGTAACCTGAACCTGTTTTCCTCATCTGTAGAATGGAGTTGGTAGTACTCACCCCATAATAATAATTAAAGCAAATATACCCACAGTGCTCATTATGTATCAGGTACTCTTCTAGGACCTTTATGGGTCTTAACTCCAAGATAGAGTCTGTTTTTAGCCTTATTTTGCAAGCAAGGAAGCCAAAGCATAGAGAGATTAAGTAACTTTTGCCCCAAATCACACAGCTGCTACTCTGGCTTTAGGGTTCCTGCTCTTGGTGCATGATAGACCCTTAAATGATAACTGTTTCTGTCATTGTTATTATTTATTAATTTACCTTAAAAATTGGGAGATGATTGACCTAATGTTTAGAATGGATTTTAAGGTCCTTTTTTGAAAAACAAAATGCTGACTTAGATTTAATCCTTTGAGGACAGTGTCTCTTTTGGTTTTATCTTTATACCCCTAGCACCTCTGATTATTGGGAGCCGCTGTTGGTACTCAGTAAATTGTCTGTTGCCTGAGTGAAAGAATGGGAGTAATCCTAAAAGGCGGGAATCCTATCATGCTTGCTATCAGACTTTTGCATGGCATTGTAACTTTGGGCATGTCACTAGGCCTCAGTCTTGTCCACTATAATTAGAAATATTGCCACTGGCTTCTTGGGCATGGTTGTGGGAATTGAGATACTCTACGTGATTGGGATTTGTTCTCATTACCCTTTCTTTTAGTTCCCTGCGTTGTATATATTTATTTTTCCGACAGACTACAACATTTTCTGAGCCTAGAGATGCACTCCCATTTTTGATCAATATAGTTATTGATTGGCTATTTCTTTCTCCCTGTTATACTCTTTAAAAAACAGTTACCCTTGAGAAATGGCGGAAGCAGTTTTCCACGCCCCAAAGAGGAAAAGAAGAGTGTATGAGAGTTATGAATCTCCTTTGCCGATCCCTTTTGGTCAGGATGGTGGGCCTAAGAAAGACTTCAAAATATTCACTGCTGAAATGATAAACAACAATGTAATTGTGAGAAACGCAGAAGATATCGAGCAGCTGTATGGGAAAGTAAGTGCCAGCTGCTTTGGTGTGGCTCCTTCCTCACAGCCCTGAGCCAGCTGTCCCTGTTGCTTCTCCCCATCCATTCCCAAAGCAAACTATAATTGAGCCATATTCTTTCCTTGCCGTTTGGTGCATTGTAGTATGGGAACAGCACAATTTGAATCAGGTGCCCCAAAGCCATATGTTAATGAGGATAACTCCCCGACCCATGAACCCATATTTCAACGCATTGACCTTTCTTGTCTTTCCCTTATAAAAGGCTTGTGTGTTCATAAAAATGTCCAGCAGTTTACAGAAATGTAATGAGTAAAAAGTAAGAATCCCCACTCGCCCCCATTCCATCCCCGGAGGCAACCTAAGTGGCATATTGTTCTGTGTCATGGACAGATGAGGCTTCAGCATGTCCTTGGCTCCTTATCTGTTCTCTCTTCTGGTTGAGGACCTCTTCTTAGATGAAGGCAAGTTCTAGTTTTTGCTGTTTTCCATAAATGATAGGTGTGGGTTGAGATTGGTAGCTTGCTTGCTTTTTTTCCCCTCCATAGCCAATTCATTAATGGGGGCATTTTTTTTTTTTTTAAGTAACTAGAGGGAAGATATACAGCTATGAAAAGTAGAATGAATCTCTTGTTAACTCAAATAGTTGTTTTCCATAATTTGGCTATTGTTGAATGGATAAAGAAATTGTGGTTTGTATACACAATGGAGTACTACGTGGCAATGAGAAAGAATGAAATATGGCCCTTTGTAGCAACGTGGATGGAACTGGAGAGTGTTATGCTAAGTGAAATAAGCCATACAGAGAAAGACAGATACCATATGTTTTCACTCTTATGTGGATCCTGAGAAACTTAACAGGAACCCATGGGGGAGGGGAAGGAAAAAAAAAAAGAGGTTAGAATGGGAGAGAGCCAAAGCATAAGAGACTCTTAAAAACTGAGAACAAACTGAGGGCTGATGGGGGGTGGGAGGAAGGGGAGGGTGGGTGATGGGTATTGAAGAGGGCATCTTTTGGGATGAGCACTGGGTGTTGTATGGAAACCAATTTGACAGTAAATTTCATATATTTAAAAAAAAAAACAAATAGTTGTTTTCCTTCTGCTAAAAAATTAGTAATTAAACGTGTACTAACTTGTTTTCTCTTTTCCCGAAAGGGTTATTTTGGAAAAGGTATCCTGTCTAGAAGCCGTCCAAACTTCACAATTTCAGATCCTAAGCTCGTTGCTAAGTGGAAAGGTAAACTTAAATCTTTCAATTCTTTTGGCAAGTTATTTTCTTTTATTTTTGATCTTATGCTTCAGATTACACAGGAAATTCTTGACAATTATATAGGAAGATTCTCTAGAGAAGAGGTAACATGCACAGTGGCAATTTTACTGCTAAAACTAGCAACTAGACTAATTCTAATCAAGGTGGAAGAGTCCTTATGGTTGGTGAAAATGTGTTTTATCGAATTTCTGGAATTGTCAGAAATGTTATTTACACTTTTCTGTTGTTGAACGTTGACTAACAGGGTACTGTGCATGTGGAAAGTACTAGTAATTAAGTACCTCATCACCTGCATGCAAAATGAGTTTTATATTTTTTATTTTTAGAATTAGAATTTACAACAATAACCATAACGTTAATGAATTTGTTAAAACATTAACCAATGTGTATAGTTCTTACTTGCTTACCTTGACTTCTTTAACATATAAATCTTTTACCCTAGTGTATTTGTTTAAGGAAGTCTCATGGTGATTACATAACCAGTGCTGGCATATTAGAACATAATTAGGGTTTTTAAAAACATTTCATTGTAAGAAAAAAACACAAATTAAAACTGTGGTAAGGTACCATTTCAGCAGTCAGATTGGCAAAAATCCGAAAGTTTGACAATATTCTCCTTGGTAAGGCCCTGAGAAATATTCTCACGCATTGCTGATGGGAATGCAGGTGGTCCAGCTATTACAAGGGGAATTTGGCAAAGCCTAACAAAATTATACATACATTTGCTTTTTTTTTTTTTTTAAGTTTATTTATTTTGAGAGAGAGAGAACAAGTGGTGGAGGGCCGGAGAGAGAAGGAGAAAGAATTCCAAGCAGGCTCTGCACTGTCAGCGCAAAGCCCAAGAACGGCTGGAACTCACCAACCGCGAGGTCATGACCTGAGCCGAGATCAAAAGTCAGATGCTCGACTAACTCAGTCACCCAGGCGCCTCTATATACATTTGCTTTTTCCCCCAGTCCTCCTCTCCCCCTAACCACTGGTAACCTTAATATGTTTTCTGTGTCTGTGAGGTTGCCTGTTCTAGATATTTATGTAAGTGGAATCATACATTTTGAAGCCTTTTGTGTCTTTTACTTAAGATGTTTTCAAGATTCATCCCTGTGTAGTATGCATCAGAACTTCATCCTGAATAATATTCCATTTTATGGATATATCATGTTTTGTTTATCCATACATCCAGAGATGGACATTTGGGTTGTTCCCACTTGAGGGCTGTTGTGAGTAGTGCCACTGTGAACATTCATATACAAGTGTTTGTGTGGACATATATTTTCATTTCTCCTAGGTACATACCTAGGAGTGAACTTGCTGGGTCATATGATAATTGTATTTTAATTTTTTTAGGTAATGTCAAACTGTTTTCCTTAACACCTACCCCATGTCACATTCCCACCAGCAATGCACAAAATTTCTAATGTCTCTACTTCCTGTTTTTTGGCTTTTGATTTTTCGGTGTTTTATTTTGTTTATGATAGCCATCTCAGTGTGAAGTGGTAAAAGTTTTTAATATTCATGAAGTCCAGTTTATCTTTTTTTTTTTCTTTCATTGCCTCTGATTTTGGTAGCATATTTAGGAAACCATTGCCAAATCCAAGCTTATGCAGATTTCCCCCCGTATTTTCTTCTAAGAGTTTTACAATTTCAGCTCTTAAATTTAGGTCTCTGATCCATTTTGAGTTAATTTTTGTGTCTGATGTAAGGTAGAGTTCCAGCTTCAATGTTGTGCCCATGGATATCCAGTTGTCCCAGTATATGCATTTACTTTTAACCCAGCAATTCCATTTCTAGGAATTTATTTAAAAGATACACTGGCAAATATATGAAAAGAAATAGCACAAGACTATTCACTGCAGTGCTTTTTCTTACATTAAAAGACTGGAAACAATCCAGATACCCATTAGGAGGGGACCAGTCATTAAACTGTACTACATTCGTATAATAAAGTGCTGTGGAGCTGAGCTGAGAATGAGGGATCACAGAGATGTATTCCTAAGTGAAGACAGCAGAGTAAAGGGGAGTCTGCATAGTATGTAATGGTTTATCTGGAGGTGGGTGGATATAAATATATTTTTTAAATTTAAGGAAGGATATACCACAGATTCTTTTTCTTTTTTAATTTTTTTTATTTTACATGCAAATTAGTTAGCATATAGTGCAACAATGATTTCAGGAGTAATATTCCTTAATGCCGCTTACGCATTTAGCCCATCCCCCCTCCCACAACCCCTCCTGTAACCCTCTGTTTGTTCTCCATATTTAAGAGTCTCTTGTTTTGTCCCCCTCCCTGTTTTTATATTACTTTTGCTTCCCTTCCCTTGTGTTCATCTGTTCTGTGTCTTAAAGTCCTCATATGAGTGAAGTCATATGATATTTGTCTTTCTCTGACTGACTAATTTCGCTTAGCATAGTACCCTCTAGTTCCACCACGTGATTGCAAATAGCAAGATTTCATTCTTTCTGATTGCTGAGTAATACTCCATTGTGTATATATATACCACATCTTCTTTATCCATTCATCCATCGATGGACATTTGGGCTCTTTCCATACTTTGGCTATTGTTGATAGTGCTGCTATAAAC